CTCTCTTTCTCTCTCTCTCTCTCTCTCTCTCTCTCTCTCAGATATTACGGTAGCAAAAACATTTTTCCCCTTCTAAAAATCTTGATCGGCTTGCAATCACGTCGTTGAAGTCGATTTCCACGGTGTCGGGGCTGGTTGTCCTTATTCCCGCCGCTCCCAAGGTCAAACGTGTGTATGTTCCGGTTCCCTGCTCGCATATCCGCCATCTCCATGGCTTTGGAAAGGTCGTTGATAAAAGGAGAACTTGATTTGTCAGACACCGACGGCGGAGGGTCGAGGACTGCCACAGTTTGTCTAAGACGGCGTGAGGAGACGAAGAGCGATCGTGACTTGGGGAGTCGGATGTGGATGGGGACGGGCAACCGACGGCGAAAGCGGCAGAGGTGGCGGAGTCGTCTTCATCGTATTAAATGTAACAGTAATTGTATTAAATGAGTCTTACCCGTTTCCTTTGAGTTTCACCCTTTATATAGTATCTGTTTGTGTGATAGTCAGCTCATAGTCATTCGTTGACCGTACGCATTTAAGTCAATGCCCCGAGTCGTAATGGTCGACCTTAACGACCCGCCTCGCCATAGTTGCTCGTATCGGCCCTTGGGTCGATGGGTAGATACCCCGTCCCGGTCGATCACCCGCCCTGGCCATGAATGGTCGATGGGTTGGCGCCCCGGCATGGTTCGACCCTCTAGCCTTGGTCGATGTTCCAGTTTACTCGATTCGGTTTTACGGGTCTTTTGCTCGATCGGACCGGTTCAGTACTATAATCCCTATCGATGATATAGCAATTTGCCATAAATATCAATTTAATTGAGTTTATTTTTCATTTTTTAATTACACATCACAACTACCACTTAGTATTAAGAAAGCATGTGCTGTGCTTGGTTGGTTGCTGATTGCAGTCTCCGCACGGGTTCCGCACGGATTCAAGTGGGTAAGTAAATGAACAACTCTTTTTTTTTTTTTTCTTTTTTTCTTCTATTAAATATAATTGCACCACTCATCGTATGTTCTTTGATTTATAGTTTATTACTAGTACAACACTCGTGTATTACACGAGTGCTTGTTAAAAAATTATTATTAAATTTTAAAATAATTATTCTTAAGTTTTAAAATTAATGAGAAAACTACATTAAATTTAGTTTACTTTTTTACAAAAAAAATATATATATATATATATATATTACTATATATATTTTATAATGATATGTGTTACTTATGACTTACATGTGTTATATTATATTAGTTTTTATAACTTATATCATATAACTACTTGAAATATAAATATATTAGTTGATAAATAATTTATTTTTCTAATTAATATTAAAAATAATTTTATTATTGTTATAAAGATAAATATAAATTATTTTTTTATACATATAATATGGATGTTAAATCGAACTCATTAAAAGAAGATTAATTTGATATATTACATATGTAAAACTGATAAAAAATACAAAAATTATTAAATTTTAAGATATATATA